ACACAAAACACCTACAAAGAAACACAACATGACCACAAAGACACACAAAACACCTACAAAGAAACACAACATGACCACAAAGACACACAAAATGACAACAAAGAGACACTAAACAACTATAAAAAGAGACCATACGGCCACAAAGAGACACAAAACAACCACAAAACAGACAGAAAATGACAACAGATAGACATCCAAAATGCCCATAAAGACACAGAACAACTACATAGAGACATAAAATCACCGCAAAGAGACACAAAACAAGCACAAAGAGAGACGTAATGACCACAAAGAGACACAAGACAACTACAGACAGACATAAAATGGACACAAAACTACAGAAAGACCACATGTGGCCACAAAGATTCACGAAACAACCACAAAGACAAAATAAAACAACTAGAAGGAGACACAAATTGACTACAAAGAGACACAAAACAAACACAAAGAGCGATGCAATGACCACAAAGAGACACAAGACAACTATAGACAGACAGACAGACAGAAAATGGACAGAAAACTACAGAAAGACTACATGTGGTCACAAAGACACACCAAACACACACAAAGAGACAAAACAACTAGAAAGAGATACAAATTGAATACAAATAGACAGAAAACAACAACACAGAGATACCAAATTACCTCGATTAAAGAGACACAAAATGGCCACAAGGAGCCACTAAACCATTACAAAGAGAAACAAGATAACTACAGAGACACAAAATGGCCACAGAGAGAGGCAACAGATCACAAACAGACACACAAAATGCCTATAAAGATACAGAACAACTACAAAGAGACACACAATGACCACAAAGAGACATAAGACAACTACAGAAAGACATAGAATGGATACAAAACTACCAAAAGACACAAAATGGCCACAAAGACACACCACAAAGAGACATAAAACAACTAGACGGAGACACAGATTGACTACAAAGAGACATAGAACATTCACAAAGACGCAAAAAGACCATAAATAGAAAAAAAAAAACAACAAAAAAACACACACAGAGAGACACCAAATTACCTAGATTAAGGAGACACAATATACAATTTTATTGACTTTTGGTAAAAGTCAATAAAATCCAGACATTTAAGAGAAAATTAGTTAAATAATCAATGAAAATGAAAAGCTAGATGCAGCCTTGAGCTGAACACATTTTTCCTTAACGTACATTCATTGAAATCACAACTGTTTTGTGGAAAGTGGCCCCATTCTGTGTGTATGAAACAGTTGTAAACGAGGCCCAGGTCCCCTTTTCTCCTGGAAATAACTGTACTTTTTCACTTCTCGTTGGATTCATGAAGTGGAACAAATGAACCAGCCGGCACCCGTCTGTCCTGCCGCTGAATCTCTTTCCTCTTTGCAAAGATCCCGCTGAAAACGTCCGCGTTACCAGAAGCGGAGTGATGCATCGGCCTCAATCAAATCGTAAACCATCTGCTCGCTGGCACCACAACAATGAGACAAACTGTTCTATCTGATCTGCGGGTGTAAAGCGATACATGGTGGCGGCTGGTTTTGTCATTAAGGTTTGTGTCCAGGTTCATGATTTGGGAGTCACGGTGGCCCGACTTCAGATTAGCAAAAAAGTAGCTGAACGTCAGGCTTTCAGATAAAACTTGAAATACTAAGATATTTTCCAAAAAAAGAAGCCACGGCTGCAAGCGGCGCTCCAACGGGACGATCAGGTAGCTGAAGGAGAGGCAGCGGCTGTGTGTGCCTGCAGTTGCTTTTCATCTGTTTGTGGTTGTTTTGTTTCTTTGTAGTTGTTTATTTTCTCTTTGCGGTTGTTTTGTTTATGTACATTTTTTTAGTCTCTTTGTAGTTGTTTTTTTGTCTCCGAGTAGTTATTTTTCATCTCTCTGTAGTTGTTTTGTGTCTGTGTTGTTGTTTTTTTTGTCTCCTTGTGGCTGGTTTGTGTCTCTTTGTAATTATTTTTTTAAATCTCTGTAGTTGCTTTGTGTTCCTCTGTAGTTGTTTTGTGTCTCTTTGTGGTTGTTTTGTGTCTCTTTGTAGCTGTTTTCGTCTGTTTGTGGTTATTGTGTATCTCTCTTTAGTTGATTTTCTCCTCTGATCATCAGCTGCTATGTCTTTTTAGATTTTTTTCATCTGTTAGTGGTTCTTTTTGTTTCTTTGTAGTTGTTCTGTGTCTCTTTGCAATTGTTTTGTGTCCATTTGTAGTTTTTTTTTGACAGTGTCTCGTATATTATGTTCTATTGTGGTCATCATACGTCTTAATGTCAACGTTTCATATTCTGTGTCTCTTTTTGGTCATTTTGTCTCATGATTTTGTGTCGCTGAGGTCAATTTGTGTCTCTTTAGGGTTGTTCTGCATGGCTTTCAAGAGCATAAAAGACATAAAATGACTACAAAGAGACACAAACAACAACAAAGTGACCAAATAACCCCAAACTGACAAAAATGACTCCCAAGAGACACAAAACATGAACAACGAGGGGGAAAAATGCACTTAAAGAGACACAAATAAAGTACAAGGAGGCACAAACATATCACTAAGACACAAAATAAGTACAAGAAGACAACAAAAACAACAATTGAACAGTTGAACAAGAGCCTGACATGAGTCATGAACTGACATAAATGCTGTGTCCTGGCTGTGTCCAACACCTAAGTGTCCCCCTAGAAACATCTGAATTGTAGTCTGTACTCATGGACTGTATCTGTGCTATTTGCAGTGGTTTTTTTTTTTTTTTTTTGTCCACGTGCCACACCTGTGTTGTCAAATTGACAAAAAAAATGACAAAAACACATTTTCTTCATTTTGAAGTTTGGCGCCCCCCTTTGCAGGTATAATTTTTCATAATTTTGAGTTCAAAACAAAAACAGTTTAGTATGTTCCAGCTCCTTTTCCCTTCAGACAAGTAAAAAGAAAAACTTTAAATCCAACCAATGCAGTTTTTCTTTCATCGTGTCCACTTCTTCACACCGTACTTTTGATAATAAAGCTGCCTCATGTCTCACACGACTCACATCTGTTCCACAGTCTGCTCATACAAACATACAAACACCATATTATACTTCTCAACCCACCTCCTGCTACAGCTGCAGAAACATTATTAACTGCCAACCTCACTGCTTTATTTTTGAACATGCTGAAGCAGCGCCATGCAAACACAGGCCTGCTGAATAAAATCAATCCATGTAGTAGTACTTCCACCTGAAGCCGTCCTGGCTGATCCACAGTGTTACAGAATTCACATGTGAAGTGTGAAGCTCTCGCGCTGGCCAAGCTGCACAGCTCTTGTATAACTGTGCATAAATCACAGATTCGTTAAACTGCAGCGAGTTCCTCATAAAGTTAGTGGCTGAAAAATTCACCGCTCAGTGAGAACATGACATAATGTTCCCGTAAGCAACAACCACAATCCAACATGTAACACATGCACTGGACGAACAAAGAAACAGCTTCCCAGCTCTGCAGCATCCTTCCATCAAAGAGTACAAAACCTTAAAACTTGCTTAACCATCAACCAGACTTGCATGTTTTCCTCATCTGGTCTCATCTGCTTTCTGTCTGTGTTCATCAGATTGTGTCCTTTGCCTGCACTCCAAATGATGCTCTTTAAACTTTTCATTGTGTTCAGCTGCTGCAGATAATTACAGAGACACAAAACGACCAAGAAAAGACAAGCAACAGCCTCAAGGAGACACAAAATAACTACAACGAGACATAAAAAGAATAAAATACACACAGAACTAGAAAGACACACAAAACCACCTCAGTCATACAATCAACCACAATGAGACAAGAAACAACAGAGTGATGTTTTCGCTCGCTGAAACTACTGTAATTTGGCATTTTTGTTGTTTTCCTACTTCAACAAATTCAACATCTTGCAAAGAGACTCCTTTGGGTGGCTCCTAAAAACACACTTTAAAAAAAATAAATAAATAAATTTGCATAAATTTTATGCAAAGTACAAACCAGAGTGTTTCCCAGCAACAGCTTTAAAGAATTCCAAGGACTCTTAAAGGCATAAAACAGGATCCAATTATGAAAGCAGCACCTGCAGCTTTTCACCGACAGTTAAAATCACTGCCTTTTTACTGCATTTACATTAAATTGTATTTATGTAACACTGTTCCTAAGGTTTTGGTGTTTTCTGCAGACTGCAGGCAAGCTGAGATGGAGGGAAAACCTCTGAACTCTGAAGCCAACCAGTAGGTCTGAAAGGCACGTTATCTGGAAAAAATACGTCAAAATTACACCATTTCACCATCAGCTGGAACGTGGAAGAAGTATTTGATGACATTTTAAACGTGACACATCGAATACAGTGATTTTGATGACTCATCTTGATTTTAAGTTTAGATTTTTTCCTGTGGGAACAAAGATGATTAGTTCAGGAACTATCAGAAAATTCAGACTCTGATGAGTTTTTTTTTCTGTTTTTACAGTTTCTGGCTCTAATAAATTGTGTAATTTTAGCGATTTTTTCTTTTTTCCCGATAACATGCCTTTTAAACCGACGACAGGTTTTGGGGTTCAGACGGTTAAAACACCTGCGCTTTCTGTCAGGTCAAAGGTTCTGCAGGGAAAAAGATCTGTTGTATCTATAGTGGTCAAAATAATGTGAAAATGCACGATCTAAATGAGAAAACATTGTGTTTCTGTATCTATACATTCAAGAAGTAAAGTAAGAAGGAGGAGAATCAGTGTTGTATCTAAGAAGTCTTTCCATTGAAGATTTTTTCATCCTCTTCTTGTGTTTTTTTCATTTCTGGGGTTTCCATTCAGGTATTTTTTGCTTGAATTCCAAATGTACGGAAAGCAGGTGGATGGAAACATACTCAGCAGTCTCTGCTGCCCACACTCACTTTTCCTCTCAGTGCGACATCCGTCCCTCGACTCCACTAAGTGGTCGGTTACAGTTGGGAAAACACTTAACACTCTGAATCACACGTGTCTGTCCAGCGTCAGGCAGCTCAGAGATGCATGACGCAGCATCTGAGGGGTTTTTATAGGCAGCAGGTCTGTTAATGAAACAGTTCCGTCACTAGAAACCACTGCGGCTTGAAGCAGCTCCAAATAGACGAGCTAACGCAAACCAAAAACAACAACAAACAACGAGAAAACACAGCTAGAAAGAGGCGAGCAGCTCGACTGGCTGATGCTGAAAACAATGATGCACTGAATTGGCAAAATAAACGGAAACGTCCTCGATACTGAAAGCAGATTTTAAAAACGCTCGGGGCGGAATTTGAAGAAACAATGAGATAATTGAGATTGAAATGCAGATGATGGATGACTCACGACTGCCCGCTCTCGTGTGTTTGGTCCAATCTGCTAAAGAAAAGCATGTGCTTACATACCAAACATGTAAAGTGTTCTCCCCGAGGTCACAAACCACGAACCCACATGGGGAAAAACAATGGGATGCTGCATGCGGAGGGGTGTTTAAACTTGACAGCTGCCTGTAGACATGTGTGATTTTACAGGCCTGTTGCAAACAGAAAGCTTCCTTAGAGCCTGAGAAGATGCAGTAGAAGCTTGTTAAGTGAGAAAACGTGGCGTAAATTGTAATGTTTTTATATAGCACTTATCCAGGGCAGGTGTTGCTAAGTGCTCTGCAATAAAATTTTAAAAAAACAACAGATAAGTTTGTGGGTGGCTGAACAAGGAAGGAAAAAGATCATGAAAACACTGATTAATTTTGAGCCCAAACAGATAGTTTAAAAAACTTCCGTGCAGCATTTTGCTCCATTTTTGAGCAATCAGGTGGGAAGAAGATTACAAGGATACAAATGTTATTAATTGGCTAAATGATTAAACGTTGCTACCCGAGCTGTCCTCGTTCCCTGTGGATGCTGTGAAGCATCCAGATAAAGACAACATGTGGTGAAACCAGTGCAGTCTGGGACTTTTTTGACCTCTATGCAGGCTGTCAAAATATAATAACAGACAACGACTAAACCGTAGAAAGCTAGTGCTGTATATTAAGTCTGAATACACGGTGCTACATGATCACATCCAGATTGAGCACAACCAATGTTTTCTTACTTTTGACCTAGTTGACGCCATTAAATTTGAATTTCTATTCCACTGACAAGGAAGTGAGTCACCAGGAACATCCTTAGTCTGAAAAGATATAAATAAATGTGATGCACCTTGAACAAATGTTCTTTAGCTGAAAAACTGGATCAAACCAAACACTTCACATGCAGAGGTCGACCTGACACTGATTAGAGGCGTAAATTAGATGTGTAACTGGATACCATTTGCGATGAAAACAACATGATCCGTTCAAAGGGGGAAGCGTTTAACGGACAAACACAAGAGGATCAAGAACAGAAGAAACTGGATTTGACGTCTGGTTGCACAAGAGTACAGACTTCACCTGATGAGCTGGCCTTTGAGTTGTTTTTATGCTGGTCGCACTGAGTTTGTAAGAAGCCAAACACACAAATGCACTGCTTTGTTTTTCACCTTCAATGATCACATTGAGCTGCCTAGAAGTAAAGAAAATGGTTTCCTTAATAACAGTTAGCTGTTATAAAGGCATTTTAATCTTTCAGGGTAAAAGAAGCGTGAGCATCACTTCAGTTCTCTAAACTCCAAGCAGTTTCTGGACTTTTTATTTTTTTTGCTCCTGTCCCATTTTTCATCACTGTGGTCTCTTTTTTCACTGCAATATAAAGTCCTGCACCACCACAACTATGACTAAAAGCAGAAAGAACTGCACAACCTTTTCCCATAAGGTGTTCACAATGCTTTGTCTATGTTTAACTAATTGCATTGTTACAACCTCTACACACCTGCCGTACTGAATCTGGTGAGAGAAAACTGTCGTGCAAGTTATTTTAAAGAAATATCACAATTTTAAGCCACAAAAGACATGCAACTGAGTAGTTCGAGGATCATTTAAAAGTTAAAGAGCTGACTTCTTTTGGCTTACTACTTTTTCTAGTTCTGGTACATGGTGCCATTTTGGAAACCATTAAAAGTAATATGCCTATCAAACCTGCCAACTGGTTTTCAGGTTCAGAGAGTTTTATTGCTTATTAAAGTTGAAACCTCCAATAACACTATTATATGTCTATACTAGAAAATTCATGAAAACATTTGTTTCATTTCAGTCTTTAGAATTTTTTTTTTCTGGGGCTAGATTCATCCAATTAAAGTCAGAATTTTCAAAAAAATTTGTTAAACTTAAACTGCAGCTGCGTAAAAACTGTAAAAGATATTAAAACATGTCTTTAGAAAAATAGCATCCAAAGCTTTCTGACCTGTAAAATATTCCAGTGCTACAGAGTTTGAAAGATGGGTTTTGGCCAGACTTCCTGTGCATTTCAGATTTTTAACTTTTTTTTTTTTTTTTAATTTGGTCAAAACTGTATGACGACAAAAGACATAGCACACCATTTCCTATCAAGCCGCATGTTTTGATATATAATTCATATTGGTTTTCTTAAAGTTGCAAACTGCAAACTAATTCATGTGCTTCAATGCCTATGACCTGCTACATCTAATTAGATAATAACACTGATCCTATTAAAGACTTTTTTAAATCAAAGATTGCATATTTTGCTTGTTTCGACTCACCAGTGTCACAGTTGGGTCCAGTCTTGCCCTCCAGACACTGGCTGCAGTCCGGTCCGGTGAACCCTCGCCGACACACACAGCTGCCTTTGACACACCGTCCTTTGTTGCTGCAGTTGTTGGGACAACCTTTGGCGGCGCAGTCCGGCCCGGTGAAGCCAACATCACAAACACACTTCCCGTTCACGCACTTCCCACGTTTGCTGCAGTTGTTGGGACACGCTTTTTGAGAGCAGTTGTCGCCGGTAAATCCGTCGTCGCAAACACACTGTCCATTGATGCAGCGTCCCCTGTTGTTGCAGTTTCCTGGGCAGGAGTCTTCAGAGCAGTCGTCGCCTGTAAATCCATCGTCGCAAACACACTGTCCGTTGATGCAGCGCCCCCTGTTGTTGCAGTTTCCGGGGCAGGAGTCTTCAGAGCAGTCTTCACCGGTGTAGCCGCTGTCGCAGACGCATTTGCCGTTAACACACCTGCCGCGGTCATTGCAGTCATCAGGGCAGGCCCTCTGAGAGCAGTCCGGCCCCGCGAACCCAGGGTCGCACACACACTGTCCATTAACACAGCGCCCCCTGTTGTTGCAGTTCCCAGGACAGGAATCGCCCGAGCAGCTAGGACCCGAGAAGCCACTGTCGCACACACACCTGCCGTTCACGCACCTGCCTCGGTCGTTGCAGTTGTCGGGGCAGGCGCTCTGGGAGCAGTCGGGACCAGCGAAACCGGGATCGCACACACACTGTCCGTTGACGCACCTGCCGTTGTCGTTGCAGTTCCCTGGACAGTTGGAGCTGCTGCAGTCCGGCCCGCTGAAACCTGGGAAGCAGACGCACTTTCCGTCCACACAGCGACCCTGATCGCTGCACTCGTTGGGGCACTCGGAGTCCGGTTTAATGGAGCAACCAGCACCTGAAGGACAAGGACAGGTTTGCTGTTAACTTGGTTTACTAATGGATCAACTTACAAAAAAAAATAAGATGTAATATTTAATTGCATGAAAAAAAACAATGGATGAAATGGTTAACCGAGCCATATTGTGCCTCTTTTCAGCAAATTTTCATATGTCTCAGAATAAGTCTCAATGGTTCATTTAATCTCCTTTTCTAAATGAGCTTTTTCAGTGTCTGTAGCTGTAACTGCCACTGAGTTGCTGCTGTCCACGCCCCCTTCAGGAAGAAGACTCTCTGCATCTGTGATTGACAGGACAGAGCAGACAGATGCGAACTAGTGTGTGAGACCAGGACTTCCATTGCTTCCAACATTCTCTTTGGATCATCATTTTACATGAACGTATCGCCAAATCCACATCACAGCTGGTGTTTTTAACTCTGCTTTTGAACTGTGTTTCAGAAGTTAGTGGGAAAACAAACAATTACTAAGAGACTAAAAAGGACTAGAAGTAACAATAAAGACATGCAAACTGAAAATAAAAAGACACCAATTGACCAAAATGACCCAAAAATAGCTATAGAGATGCAATATGATCAGAAAGAAACACGATGACCACAATGAGACAACATCACCGCAAATAGATGTAAAATGACACAAAATGGCCAAAATGTGACACAAAATGATGTCATACAGAGAGAATGGGCGTAAAAATATGGAAAGCACTCAAAATGAGCTACAAAGTGGCCATAACGGGAAAAAACCACAACTATAAACTGATGTAAAAGACCACAAAGAGACAAAATGGCCTCAGTTATATAAGAAATGACCAAAATCTGACACATAATGACGTCAAACAGATACAGAATGGCCACAAAAAGATGTGCCGCAAAATCACTAAAGCTAAATGCAAACTACCATAAAGAGACGCAAAACAATCAAAGTGAGCCACAAAATGTGATGACAAAACAACCATAAAGAGATAGAAGGAACAGGAAGGGATCAAATGAGAAAAAAAAGAAAGAAAAAATAACTGCAAACAGATGTAAAATGACTTAAATGAAACGCATGATAACCATAAAGAGATGCACAATGACGACAAAGAGACATAAAACAACTGAAATGTGACACACAATGACAAAAACGAAACGACCACAAAGTCACACAACACAATCAAAATGAGCCACAAACTGGCCATAAAGGGAAAAAAACACAGCCGTAAACACATGTAAAATGATCACAAAGAGACAAAATGACTATGAAGAGCTGAAAAATGACTAATGTGGGACAAAAAGCAACAACAAAGACGTGCAAACTGACCACAGACACACACAAATTGACCACAACGGGGGGAAAAAAATGACAAAAAAGGAGAAACGATGCCAAACATCTGCAAGACGGAGAGCTGGAGAAACACAATAACAAATCACATCTGTCTTTCAGTCTGGGTGTCCTGCTCCTCGTGGGACAAGTGGGGGGACCATTATTTCATAAAACTGAGGTTCGTATGACACAAATGTGGCTTTTAGAATTTTTTTTACAAATCATAAGCTTACAAATATGTGAAATTTCAAGTATGTACATTCGTGGTGGTTTGTTGTGGCGGATGAATGAAGCTCTTGAATGAGTTAGAGCCGAATACTTTTCCTGCTTCAGTTTTTTTGGGGGGCGTAATCCTCTGTAATTAGAGTATAGCACGGCCTCGTTTGGACTGATTATCCCCCCGTGTGTGTTGCTGAGCGCTGGGTGGGGGGACGTCAGCGGACTGGGAGGACACGGAGGCTGAGATCACACTGGGCACACAGCTGGAGACACGCTCATCCAGCGGTGTTTCCATCGCTTCAGAGGACATTACAGCCACTCACACTCATTTCCTGACCGCTTACACTAACCTTAAACCAAGTCTTCTGCCTGAAATGTGATCATTTACATTATGAGGAATATTCTTCTTTTTTTTTCCTGTCCCCTCAAATGGAAATCAGATCCCCACAATTTGATTTATATCCCTGCAGCACGAGTAAAACAATTACACATTCGCACAGCTCAGTTAGCTCATGGTTTCATCTCTGCCAGTTTATCATGTGATCAGACTGATTCCAACATAAATCCCACCGAGAGTCACACAGTCGGAGCAGAAGAAGAAGAATATAAACTCCACTGAGGTTCAGTAGAAGTCTGAGGTGCATTTACCTAATACAGACATTATGATGCATTACAGATACTCACACTGATTCATTAATTATAGAAATAGTTCTTCACTGT